GTTTCTTGTTAGCATCAAACAACCTAATTGCAAAAGGAAGTTAAGGAAACCAATTAATTGCCTACCAGCAAATGACAACTACTTTAAAATTCTGAAGAAATATGCACTGACTTGTTACTTACATTGTCATAACATGATCTTAAATAACATAATTAAAGGTAAAAATTCCATCATGTGTAGACTAAATTAATTGTTTCAGTTTTTTTTTTTCTCTAATATGGAATATTTATCAGATAATAAGGAAAAAGACACTGCAACAATGTTTGTTCTTAATATTAATGCTAGCTAAGATAATTTTTTTCTCATTTATAAACTGCACTTACAAGCTGTCCTCTAGCAGGCACTCTTTCTCAAATGCCACATTTATTGGGTCTAAAGGTCATCATATAACCAGGAAGGGGTTTCAGTGGTTCACCCTTAATCTGCTCCCCTCAATAAGGCAAATTATTACTGCTTCTAAATGCCTACTGTTTCTACAACAATGACTTTGGTTCAATCTTCCTTTGACAATATATGTGACATTAAATTTCTAAACATATGGATAAAAGCAGATTTTAAGAGCTGTTAAATAAACAGTTGACATTGTATAGGCTCATATCGATTCCTTTATGTCTGTCTAAGCACTACATCTTATGGCAGCAGCATGGCAGGGAGGGACATATTGTGCCTAGTCACTTGAAAAATACTGGGGGTAGACCTGACCCTTGCCTCCACCAATGAGCATTGGATGGGACAAAAATGTTATAAGGTAGGTGGCCTACTGCCTGCCCCCACCCATGGTTAAAAACATGGGTTACTTGCTAAATAACAAATACAAAAGGGTTGGCCATGCTTTTGTTCACCCCTATCCTCCCACCCTGCTTGAAGTTGGTGATCTTAATGACATAGTAATGTAATAATAACATAGGGCATGATCACCTCCTTCTTTATTAAATTGCCCCCACCCGCCACCCACAGGTGGGAATGTAGAGGGGACAATTGGATTAATATAGTAATGTTAAAAAAGTAGTATAATAACTCAATGGGATGTCCCCGCTTATTGTTTTATAAGGCCTCTCCTGCTGTTAATGAGTTGGGGCTTGGTTGGAAAGGGGATGTCACCTCCATTACTATATCAATAGCCCACACCCTCTACCCATGGGATGAAGACTAGGATATTTCCCTTTGTTCTTTTATCTTTCCTCTTCCCACATAGTCCTGTGTGGGAGTGGGAGGATTTAGCATGTTTTTTTAACAGAACCCCCACCAGCTGGATGGGGACCGGGAGATGTCCCTAGTCACTAGATTTCTTTACAGTGAGCATCTGCTGACTGGCCACTGTAACCTCAACGGTAGGATATTTTGGAGAGCCTTCATGCTGCTATTAACTACCTACCGGGCTGTTGTCACTCTCAACGTGTTATAATATGGCAATTACTAAGTGATTCCTGGATGTTCCAGTGAAAAAGGAGAAATGTGAACTGGCCTTATTGTAACACTCTTAAGGTTAAAACATAACTGTTATTATATACAGATAAAAAGATACTAAGTAAACCTAAAACAAGACGGAAAAGGGAAGGCAGTAGGGATGTGCATGGGCAAAGAATTTGGTTCGGTACTTCAGCAATTCGGGACTTCGACACTTCGCAACTTTGGTTCAGTTCGGCACTTTTGAAATTTGGCACTTCGGTTCGGCACTTACAAAATTCGGGACTTCGGACTTCGGGACTTTGGCAGTTCTATAACCCTACCCCTATACCTAACCCTAGCAGGGTTAGGGGTAGCGTTAGATTGCTGTCATCATTCCCTTAATTTTCTATCCCTCTCCTGTTTAGCCACTTTTCAGAAATACAAAGCTATTCGGCACTTCTGCAATTCAGTTCAGCACTTTCGAAATTCGGCACTTCGGACATTCGAAAAAATCTGAATGTCCGAATTGCTGAAATTCGTCTGAATTTACATTCAGACCGAAATGAATTGCACATGTCTAGAAGGGAGAATAACATAAAAATTATGCAGAAGTTGCTACAAAATATATATGTATAGTAAAGAAAATATAAGCATGGTAGTAATAACCAAAATCAACCACTATAAACAAGTATATGTAGTTATACCGGTGTCTCGAAGTCAAGTACGTGATATAATGTAGCAAAAAGTAGTAGCAATATTAACAGAAGCCCCTCATAGAGGATAATGTAAAAAATAGATAACTAGAGAGAGCCTCTCTAGTTAGTATATAAACTGGACAAACACATATATTAAAAGGGAGAAAAATAGATAATTACTTTTGTATAACTATTTATAGGTCTTTAAGTCATTTGGAAAAGGAGATGGAAATCCACTTAATATAAGGTGTGTCTTATAAATGATCATGTGTAAAGGTATTTGATTTTAAATATGCAGCTACCTTTGAAGAAAGTATCCCTACACTTTCTATAAAATATATAACCAAAAATAGTGATAAAGCGCAAATACTGAATTTTTTATATGAAAAATAAGCACATTTATTAGTCTTGTTGAGAAATATACATGCTAATTAATTGCTAGAATACAATATTGGAATAAGTAATTAGTAAAATACAATAACATTATAAGTGTGCACACTTCTATTTATTTAAAAAAATATTTTGAATAGATAAAAAAATATATAGATTTTGAACAGTGTATATATATATATATATATATATATATATATATATATAAAATACACAAGATCCAGCGCACTCACCTATCCACTAAACAGGAACTTCAATGTTGAAAGATTTTATTAGTTTTTTTAAAAACACCTAATCTAGGCAAAAATAATGGGGGTTTAGTTACATTATATGATCATACATTGCATAAGCCTGCCACAACGTCAATGTACCCCATCTTTGGCAGGTCCTACACTAACAGCCTAATGTCTGCTCTTATGAGATTAACCCACTTACTTGAGGAAAAAAATTCCATCTGGGGCTCTCTGCAGTACAAGGCTAAATAGGGCCCTATTTAGCCTTGTACTGCAGAGAGCCCCAGGTGGAATTTGTATTATTTGGCCCCCAGCAGCAGCCCCATTTATGCATGTTCAGGTGAGTGCAGCCAACCCCCCCTTGTTTCATATATATATATATATATATATATATATATATATACACTGCTCAAAAAAATAAAGAGAACACAAAAATAACACATCCTAGATCTGAAAGAATTAAATATTCTTCTGAAATACTTTGTTCTTTACATAGTTGAATGTGCTGACAACAAAAATAAAAAAATGGATTTGGAGTCACACTTAAAATTAAAGTGGAAAAACACACTACAGGCTGATCCAACTTTGATGTAATGTCCTTAAAACAAGTCAAAATGAGTCTCAGTAGTGTGTGTGGCCTCCAAGTGCCTGTATGACCTCCCTACAATGCCTGTGCATGCTCCTGATAAGGTGACGGATGGTCTCCTGAGGGATCTCCTCCCAGACCTGGACTAAAGCATCTGCCAATTCCTGGACTGTCTGTGGTGAAACGTGACATTGGTGGATGAAACAAGACATGATGTCCCAGATGTGCTTAATTGGATTCAGGTCTGGGGAACGGGTGGGCCAGTCCATAGCATCAATGCCTATGGACTGACAGACTCCAGCCACATGAGGTCTAGCATTGTTTTGCATTAGGAGGAACCCAGGGCCAACCACACCAGCATATGGTCTCACAAGGGGTCTGAGGGTCTCATCTCGGTACCTAATGGCAGTCAGGCTACCTCTGGCGAGCACACGGAGGGCTGTGCAACCCCCCAGAGAAATGCCACCCCACACTATTACTGACCCACTGACAAACCGGTCATGATGGAGGATGTTGCAGGCAGCAGAACGTTCTCCACAGCGTCTCCAGACTCTGTCACGTCTGTCACATGTGCTCAGTGTAAACCTGCTTTCATCTGTGAAGAGCACAGGGCGCCAGTGGCGAATTTGCCAATCTTGGTGCTCTCTGGCAAATGCCAAATGTCCTGCACAGTGTTGGGCTGTAAGCACAACCCCACCTGTGGACATCGGGCCCTCATTCCACCCTCATGGAGTCTGTTTCTGACTGTTTGAGCAGACACATGTACATTTGTGGCCTGCTGGAGGTCATTTTGCAGGGCTCTGGCAGTGCTCCTCCTGTTCCTCCTTGCACAAAGGCGGAGTTAGCGGTCCTGCTGCTGGGTTGGTGCCCTCCTATGGCCTCCTCCACGTCTCCTGATGTACTGGCCTGTCTCCTGGTAGTGCCTCCATGCTCTGGACACTACGCTGATAGACACAGCAAACCTTCTTGCCACAGCTCGCATTGATGTGCCATCCTGGATGAGCTGCACTACCTGAACCACTTGTGTGGGTTGTAGACTCCGTCTCATGCTACCACTAGAGTGAAAGTACCGCCAGCATTCAAAAGTGACCAAAACATCAGCCAGGAAGCATAGGAACTGAGAAGTGGTCTGTGGTCACCACCTGCAGAACCACTCCTTTATTGGGGGTGTCTAGCCAATTGCCTATAATTTCCACATGTTGTCTATCCCATTTGCACAACAGCATGTGAAATTGATTGTCACTCAGTGTTGCTTCCTAAGTGGACAGTTTTATTTCACAGAAGTGTGATTGACTTGGAGTTACATTGTGTTGTTTAAGTGTTCCCTTTGTTTATTTGAGCAGTATATATATATATTCTGAAAATTTTATTTTTGTAATATTGCATCCTAGTTTAACAATGCAATGTTTTGTGGACCCGGGACATACTTGAAAACGAAGGAAATCGTATCCATCCTGGTAAAATATATATAGTTATAAATAAATAAATGTTTCTCTGTGTGTATGTGTCTCTGTATATGTGTGTGTGTATCTGTTTGTCTGCGTGTGTGTGGGGAGGGGGGTGGACATATGAGGGGTGGGGAGAAGTAGACGTATGGGGGTGGGGTAGACCAATGGGGGGGCCCCAGGGCAATTTTTGCACCTCTGCATTAGAGGACAAATAATCCTCAAACATATAGGGCATGTTAATTAGTCATATTTAAACAATAATTTTTATTGTACTTATTGGCTCCCAGCAGCACTATATATATATATATATATATATATATATATATATATATATAGTGCTGCTGGGAGCCAATAAGTACAATAAAAATTAAAATCCAGCGCACTCCATTAACTACTAAACAGCAACTGTAGATAAGGAAGTGCGCGGGATTTTCATCTTTATTGTACTTATTGGCTCCCAACAGCACCCTATTTATGCATGTTTAGGTGAGTGCAGCCAGCCACATGTTTATATATATTTATATATATATATATAAACAAAGTCACGACAGGAGCACTCTCTTGATTTTCCAAATATATTTAAAAAATATTCACCACCTCTACATCAACGTTTTGACCTTTCAGGGTCTTTATAAAGAGAGTGTCAAACAGTGCAAATATATACCAAATAATAAATATCTAACTTACCCAATCTGTGTGAAGGGATTCCTGTTTGCCGTGCAGTGCTGGCTACCTGTGCGCATGCGTAGTGATGCGTATCCGTGCGTGATGACGTGATATGTGTGTGGGCATGTAAAATGACATGCATAAACATGTTTCCATAGAAACAATACACCACCTCGATGACGTGTATTACATGATGGAAATGGCAAAATGTAATTAAATGAGACAGAGTTGGTGAGTGTGACTATGGGTAAACAGCATAAGCATAGGATCGTAAAAATTTAATTTAGTGGTTGTTGGAAATGTGCCTAGGTGGGTGGATGTATGTGAGCATGTGAGCTTTTGTTGCTCAATAAATGTAACTGAGTGATGGTGTGACAGTAGTGGTAAATGTTACTGGCTGCATGACCCATGAATGTAGCAAAATGTGGCTGGTGAGACAGGGTGGGTTCATGTTAAAGCCAAGCACACTGTTATGTGAGCAACTTTAAAGAAAATCTACTGAAGTTGTAGACAAGTTAAACTGCCTACAAAGGCAAAAGGCTTTAGATGACTGCACCTCTTGCAACCCCTTTTTAGCTTACCCATTTTGCTGTGAAATGCATATCATTGCCTAGATTCACCAAAGCATTTATCTACTTCACAGCTTTTATGAAACTTGTCTTAGGCATATCTCCAAGAGGGGTGTGTAGTAGATGGGTGATTCATTTGTATATATTCCTATATAAGTACCCGCATGCATCAAACTATCTCTATCTCTAGATTTATATATCTATATCTAAGACCTACTGTAGCTCAAATTGCTGAAAAACTTAATGCTGACCATAATAGCAAGGTGTCAGCACATGCAATGCATCACAGTTTGCTGCATATGGGGCTGCTTAGCTGCAGACTGGTCAGAGTTCCCATGATGACTCTTCTCCACTCACAAAAGCTCCTTCAATGGGGACATGAGCATCAGAACTGGAGCATCTTTCAGCAGGATAATGCACCCTGGCATACTGCAACACATTTTCAGGAATGGTTTGAGGAACATGACAAAGAGTTCAAAGTGTTGCCATGGCCTCCAAATGCCAGAGATATCAATCTGATTGAGCAGCATCTGTAGGATGTGCTGGAACAACAAATCCAATCCATGGAGGCCCCACCTCACAACTTGCAGGACTTAAAGGATTTGCTGCTAGTGTTGATCCCATGACTCAATGCATCAGAGCTGTTTTGACTGCATAAGGGGGATCTACACGATATTAGCATGTGGTTTTAATGTGGTGGCTGATCAGTGTACTTACCCCTATAATAATATCTATGTATCTTGCCTTGCATCTTTTAATCTTCGGGTGTAGACAGTTGGCTCATGTGCTTATCTCCTACCATCTGTATGCATTTAGAAATTGATGGCTCCTGTGTGGGAGTTTCTTTACTTTAATATGAGCATATTTATATATATGTAATATTTACCACTTACCAGGCCTTATTTGGACATTGAACATTGAAAAAGAGCATGAGACAGGCCTTTGGTCAGCTCATGGAGAATTATAATGGGGATTCATAATCCTTGTGAATTCTGATGAAAATTCAGACATGAAGACATAAGTGATGGGACACTAGTAAACACTGTCAAACTCTCAGGAGAAGTTTCCTTTCCAGATGGCTACCAATAGCAAGTATAAATTATAATATGTTACTTGCCATTTGCTAGCACACTATATATATTTTAGATTGCACTGTTTACAATCGCTCTTTACAGTACATGCTGACTTTACTGTCAATGCTTTCTATATTTGTCACCTTCATGCTTATATGTACTCCTCTTCAATATGTTTGAAGAGCAAACAATGACACAATAGAAATAAATGAAACAAAGCAACATGCTTCTATATGCTTCAAGCAAATTATCAACCTACTTAATTAGGTTATGTGGGTTTCATCATCTGTGAATATATTTGTTTAATTTTCTGCAGCTGTCTTCTTTCTTTTTCTTCCAGCAGTTTAATTTAGGTTACATCACAAGGATATTCCATATTTGCTAAAGACTTATGTCTTAGCATAATGTGGATGCGTAGGAAGAGATGTTGAATATGAGCCCATAGAAAAACTGTAATCCAACTGTATTAACTGCAATATGGTAAAATGTATTTCCTTAGCAGTTTGACAATTTATATATCCTACTTATAACAACAATAAAAAGTACTTTAGTTTGCAAACTTTTATAAAAAATATTGTAAGTTCATTAAAAAACACCGTAGTCCTTTTTTTTAATCGCCAATTTCAAGTGATGGCAGTCATTTTATTGTTTACGGAAACAAAGACGATAAAAGACAATAAATCAATTTTGAAGCTATGTTATGTACGATAGTTCATGGACCACTTTTTTATTATAAGCACCTTAATCAGTATGTTATAATTTTATGTTTATATGTTATTTTCACCAAGCAGAATTTAGTGGTGGTATTAATGACACAAATGCATGTTATTTGTTTCTTGAACTGCAATAATTTAATATAGTGTAATAGTTATTGTTTTACAATAAAAACAAAACTTTAAAATAGAAACAAAAGCACATGAACGTATGACATGTACTGCTAAGGTATGCCTATATATGAGGATAAAGGAAAGGGTAACAGCCAGGAAATAAGATGAAGGACATGTGGTTATATAGAAACATGTAGGAAATGTTTGGGGTTTTTTTTTAGTTGTTTTTATTAATTCAATACTTGACTCATTCACTGTATATGATCTAAATAATTCACAAAATATCCAAGTATGTTTGTATCCAACATATATATCTATAGTTATATTTGGGAATACATTTTTTATTCTATCATGATGTGTAGTGATGTCGCGAACACAAAATTTTCGGTTCGCGAACGGCGAACGCGAACTTCCGCAAATGTTCGCGAACCGGCGAACCGGGCGAACCGCCATAGACTTCAATGGGCAGGCAAATTTTAAAACACACAGGGACTCTTTCTGGCCACAATAGTGATGGAAAAGTTGTTTCAAGGGGACTAACACCTGGACTGTGGCATGCCGGAGGGGGATCCATGGCAAAACTCCCATGGAAAATTACACAGTTGATGCAGAGTCTGGTTTTAATCCATAAAGGGCAGAAATCACCTAACATTCCTAAATCACAATGAATATGGATTGACACCTACCATATGACATATTGACACCTTGACATATGGATTGACACCTGTCCTCAGAGCCCCTGATGCACACGGACACAGAGCAGAATAGGGACTGGTCCCCTATATAGGGTCACTTGGCAGATATGGATTGACACCTATCCTAAGGATCCCTGATACACACTGACAAAGAGCAGAATAGAGACTGTTCCCCCTACATAGGGTCACTTGGCAGGTATGGATTGACACCTGTCCTCAGAGACCATGATACACACTGACACAGAGCAGAATAGAGACTGTTCCCCCTACATAGGGTCACATGGCAGATATGGATTGACACTTGTCCTCAAAGCCCCTGATCCACACTGACACAGAGCAGAATAGAGACTGTTCCCCCTACATAGGGTCACTTGGCAGATATGGATTGACACCTGTTCTCAGAGACCATGATACACACTGACACAGAGCAGAATAGAGACTGTTCCCCCTACATAGGGTCACTTGGCAGATATGGATTGACACCTGTCCTCAGAGAACCATGATACACACTGACACAGAGCAGAATAGAGACTGTTCCCCCTACATAGGGTCACTTGGCAGATATGGATTGACACCTGTCCTCAGAGCCCCTGATACACACTGACACAGAGCAGAATAGAGACTGTTCCTCCTACATAGGGTCACTTGGCAGATATGGATTGACACCTGTCCTCAGAGCCCATGATACACACTGACACAGAGCAGAATAGAGACTGTTCCCCTACATAGGGTCACTTGGCAGATATGGATTGACACCTGTCCTCAGAGACCATGATACACATTGACACAGAGCAGAATAGAGACTGTTCCTCCTACATAGGGTCATTTGGCAGATATGGATTGACACCTGTCCTCAGAGACCATGATACACACTGACACAGAGCAGAATAGAGACTGTTTCCCCTACATAGGGTCATTTGGCAGATATGGATTGACACCTGTCCTCAGAGACCATGATACACACTGACACAGAGCAGAATAGAGACTGTTCTCCTACATAGGGTCACTTGGCAGATATGGATTGACACCTGTCCTCAGAGACCATGATACACACTGACACAAAGCAGAATAGAGACTGTTCCCCCTACATAGGGTCACTTGGCAGATATGGATTGACACCTGTCCTCAGAGCCCCTGATACATACTGACACAGAGCAGAATAGGGACTGTTACCCCTACATAGGGTCACTTGGCAGATATGGCGTGGTCGTGGGAGGAGGAGGATGACTTTCACCTCTTCCCTGTTAGATTCCCGTTGTGCTGTGACATCACCCTTATACGCTGTGTAAAGCATACTTTTTAATTTATTTTGCAAATGCTGCATCCTTTCCGACTTGTAATTTGGTCACATTTCCGCCACTGTCTGCTTATACCGGGGGTCTAGTAGCGTGGACACCCAGCACAGGTCATTCTCCTTCAGCCTTTTTATACGAGGGTCCCTCAACAGGCACGGCAGCATGAAAGACCCCATTTGCAAAAGGTTGGATGCTGAGCTACTCATTTCCCATTCCTCCTCCTCACACAGAGCAGAATAGGG